GTGCAGAACCGTACATTTCAATTATTATAAAACAGTTCTCTCTAATACAGAATGAAATGGTAGGTTATTAAGTCTTTTTCCGAGCAGTAATACTTTTATGATTATCTAGAGGGAATTTCTATAAAGTCTGCTGTATTGCATGTGCATGATTCTGAGGAATGTTTTCTGTGAGCTCTTAAGTTTCGCAATAGTCGTTATGTCTACGGTATGATAGAATCAAAATTAAGCGGATTAATTGTAGCTCTAGCTAATCTACCATCATTTAAAACCAAAAAGATAGACGTATACGTTTTTGCAACGCATCTAATCTTCGCGAGGATCAGAAGTCCCTTGACTCGACGCAATGAATAGGTTGCGATGCTCCCTTTGAACAACTTTTATTCGATTTCTCATGTAAACTGGATTTCAGAAAAGAGTAGGAAGGGGGACGATGAATGGCAAGGTGCATAGAAAACACTGTTCTAAGTTAATTCAAAGCATAAAAAAATTCAAATGAAAATTGTTTTGTTTTTGTAATGCTGTGAACAGTTCAGAACTTAGAAATTTTTGTATTCTACTAAAAATTCCATATTTACCCATTCAATTCATCTACTGTAGCATCACTTTCCAACCATCGTTTAATTGATCTTCTCGCTTTTGTTCTTACTAGAAATTCTATATAATTTTTTTTTCCTTTTTGAAAGAATTTAAGTGGCAGCATTAGCACTATGACAATATAATAGCTTGAGTAATAGCCGTTAGCCTTAGAAGGTTGAGTACATTCCAGCCTTCACTTTTGAATTTCTTTGCTGCAAGGAATGTGCATAATAAATCTAGCCAACGTAGTTTGTCACTTGGATTGCTGCGCTTGTTAGGTGGAACGACGCTGTTCTCCACTTGTGGATAAACACTTTTTTTCTGTTTCTAACGCCATTTTTCTTTTAAATTTAGGTTTTTACAAATTTCTTAAGTCGCTGCAACAACACTATCATATCTCTTCATACATGGTGGATTACTTACGCGAATTCTAGTGCGCACTACTGTAAAATATTGCAATTCTTTGAATTACCTTCTAACTATCTCGTCAAAATTTTAAATTGATAATTATAATTATTATAAAACTTGAATTATGTATTCCATTTCTAAAATTAATTATCCAGACTTTTGTCAGTCGACATAGAATAATTACGATTAGTAGTTGAGCATTAAAGATGTAAACGAAATAACCTACGCAATTCTTCAAAAATTGGGTTACAAATAAAAAATTTAAAGGAAAATGCTCCTATATACAATTTCCCTTCGCCACTATGCTCCATACGACAAAATTGTCCTTCGATCTACTTAAATGGTTTGGGATTTGTTTAAAGCGAATTTTTTCTCACAATTTATTGCAGTATACTGTTACAGTATAAGGTTAGTTATTACGGGAAAAATGTTCCGCTTATCCGTGTAAGACTGCAACCCCTTAGTAGGCATGACTTATTTGTAATATCACTTATTTTTTCGAAATTTTCCTTTGGTTATAAGAATCACAAATTCTTCAAGTTTTCCTTTTCGCTGCTGAATTTCCTGCTTACATTGATCAAATTGAAAATCTTTGCTAGCTTTATCTAACACGAGTTACGGTAGAAAGTTCTATTTAATTAAAGAACTTCTTAACATTATACAAAATAACTCATCTCCAAATCCAGATTACAAACAAAACTCTCGTTTTTCAACTCTCAATTATTTAGTGAAAACTGCCTCTGTACTCATTGGCTCCTCATTCTAAACATTTCCAATTTTCCTATAAAAACTCTTTGTTCTCATCATTTCCAATTTTCCTATGAAAATTCTTTGCTCTTGCGCTTTCCTGATGCAAATCGCTTTGAACTTATCTCTTTTGTTGTCGTCAGCTGCGTTCTAACATGGATTACATAAGCCATCGTTGCGTTCTCCTTTGATTGTTGAGAGTGAACGTGAAATCTCTAGGGAGTGATACATCCAAACATGGTTTTTCACTCTCGAGGCGCCCACGTATCAAAGAAGAAAATCGACCTCGAAAAGGTGAGAAAAGCATAGCTGATGAAGGGCATGGGATTTAGCTGCAGGGAGACAGGTATTACAGCTCCTAAGGGAAATTTCGGGAAAGGATACGGTAATCTGTACTTTGCTGTGGAAAAAATTTGAGTTAATGCATAATATCATTATATACGTTACGGTAACAAATTTTGCAACAACATTTCACGCTCTACTGACCAATTTGCCCAGATTTCTATTCATCAAATTTTTGCCTTCTGA